AACCGTCTGATGCATATATAACAGACTGAAGATTTAGAGAAAGATAATTTCTGACTTTTTTTACAAAACCTATGGTCCGTAGTTCTTAAAGTCATCGGATTTACAAGTTTCACATGCTGCTAAAATCCTTAATTTTATTAATCAGACGTGCAGCATATATTAATGCTACGCAGCAAGATAAGTCATATTAGTCACAACACAACAATCACAGATTATACAACGGCAACAAAGATACGATATCGAACAGTTCGTGTCCGTGTGATCACATAAAGCAGAACGTCGCTGGTCTGCGATGTCCACTGTTCATGCAGCCTTACAACACTTCTGCCAAAAGGCACTTGCTACTGCACTGCAGAATAAACAGTCTCTCTCGGAAAGCAGATTTGCTTCTAAGGTGTCCCTCCAAGTTGCGTGCTGGCTAACCGACAACGTTTGACGTGTTTTGGCTTTCGCACAGCAAGCTCATGGGCTGGAGGAAACGGCTTATGTTCAACCAGTTTCTTAATCTCCTTATCTGCGGCGAACACCTTTGGCTAAAACAGGATATAGTCGATCGTTACGTGATCCTGCCATTTAACCATCATCTTGCGTCGAAGACAACACCGCTGTATGCAGTTCAGTAGCCATGCTTACTTGTTCGTTATAACAACCGTTTCCATGTCACACAGCAATAATAATTTGACCGAAGCCGAATAAACGTTGCATTAGCATCTTTTCGAAGTAACATGCAAATTCTTCAGACAACCTGTGAGAAGTTTCCAAACCACAGAATTTGAATACACCAATTGGAAGAAAAAGTCATCGCAAAATTGTACAGTTTAGAGTTCGGTCATGTGCTATACTTTCTGGACTATAAAATAATATCTGACAATGATAGCACTACCGACGAGAGTTACCTATCTGAATGGTGTATCATGGCAATATTTGGTACAAGCTACAGAGAGAGAAGCCGAAGACTCTATGAATACGATTTTAACGTCAAACATTAACTCAATGAAAAGTAACTGTTGCAGCTAAACCTCTCCAAAGTCAAAAAGAAGAATTCTGTGCCAGGGAACTATTATCATCCAAATTAAAAACGATAATATACGCAACGGGTAACGTAGCTCAACAACGAATTTAGCGACTGAGGGTCAAAGAACGCGATGCTAAAGCTCTTTCATCACTGCCTATGCGTTTCGCGACAAAGGCAACAGTAGCATCATCGGAGCACAAACTTGTCCTCAAAGAGAACATGTTATTAGGAAATAACCTATAAGTACGTGACTCAAGGGTTCTCGTATTCATGAAGAAAAAACTGCTGTGGCAGAATAAATGGAACTTAGAAAGACAAGATCATATCTGCACAGCACATCTTACAATTTATATCTAAATTCAACATATGTTTACATATGCCATGCGCAGATATCCGAGAGCCTTGATGTACAGCTGCAGCTTCTATAACAGAAGTCAAAGCTGAGATGGATTGAGTACGTCTTGCGAATTGTTCAATAAAGCACGCCTCAATCAAATGGATCAGATTCAAATTCCTTAGATTCGTAACGCAATAAAACGCATTCAGCAGTTATCCAGCATGCAGAAGGTCCGCACCAAAACCTACCTCTGCCAACATTTGTCTCAAAAATAGAACGTACGAAAACTTCAGGTAACTTGGTACTGAAAATGGCAGTCGGGTTATAACCTGTGAAAATAAATCGAACGTTCGCTTAACTAGAGAAAATTCGGCATATAAAATTTTTTCGGTATGCTTAAAATTCAGTTTTATACATGACTGTTCCTGACAGGACATTGCGCACTAAAGGAAAGAAAAAAGAAAGTATGCAACCGTTGGAGCGCTTCATGAAGTTAATGATGGGCGCTGATCGCCATTTGTGTGCCAACATGCAAGAGTACACAACAGCATTTTTTATAAAAGCAGAGTCGACAGCAGCTACATGGGAATCATAGTGTGTAGTCCAATATTTCCTATCCACAGAGTGGAACTTATGAACTTTGGAAGAAAGAACGGCGAGTGACTCCCTTCGGGGTTCGAACCCGGGAATAATCGGTTCTGAGTCCGAAACTCCACCACTGAACAACTCCGGTCATGTTTATACAAAAACAATAATGACCATTTGCATTTACCACAAAATCTCAAGCGTCGCAGAAGTAACAAGAGAAAAAGCTAGCGTTAATTTTCGAAATTTAGACAGTGAAGTACGCCGAATGCGCGGACAATCTATAGAAGTAGCACATAAAAATTGCTCTTTCCGCCTCTAAGTTTTAATGAGATATTCAGTGACAAAAAGCAGTGCAAACAAAAAAACGGCTAAAAGCTAGACCGTTAAAAGATTTTAATCTGTTACGTTTACAACAGTCTAATTACCTATAATCCGATTCAACATCGGCCTGTTTATTTACGAAACTAATTTATACGGCAATCTGCGCATCCAAAAAAACTAGCGTTTATATGACAATGTACAAAGTCCTACCTCAGAAACACTTCCGGTTATACTCCACGTAGCAACGCTTGACAGTAACCTAAACTGAAACAATGGGAAACGGTATATGAGGGAGACGGATGATAGTCAGGATACTTCCGCTGTAGGCAGCTTATATTCCCTCAAGCGCCAGTATGCCGGAAACGGACAACGAGACTCAATAAAATGCAAAAAACCCTAATACGTCATGTGATCCCACTTACAAAAAAACTAGGCATCGTCTAGCAGGGCAAAAAATACTAAGGGGCCAATCCATACTCAGTCCTCTCCATAAAGGCACCGAACAATAATAAAAAACGGGAAAAGTGCCACACTGAGACATGTTTTCGGGCATTCTGAAGTAGTAAAATACTGTCAAGAAGGTCGAAACAGTCATGTAACAAATATCCGTACAGAAATCTGTTCCTAACTTTTAAAAATTGATCTGAGGAAAATACTGAGTGATAACTGCCGGCAAGGACGCAATTTCCAGAGGTGACTGACGGCCACTATTTCATGGGGAATCGTCGACTAACAGAGCAAGTTTTCGAAGCTATAAAACGTTCGAATGTTATCAGAAAACAGCATAAAGAAAATTAATCGGCTAAAGTAAAAAGCAAAAAAAGATGTCTCGACTTCAAATGAGGCAGATGGTTGGCGAGAAAGCGCTAAAAAACTAAGCTAGCTGTTTGCCAGATCACGATGATAAAGAATTACGACGGTCACCGACAAGTGTGATTCTATTTAGCCAAATTTTCCATCCGGTTTTACCAGCACGAACAACCAAGCTATCAGCAACGTGATCTTAATGTTATGCATTTCCATTCTTTGCAGCAGATACGATTCAACAACGCATACGCTTTTTAGATGCTTTCGTTTTTGAAATATTACGGAGTACTGTTGACAAGAACTTCTGTTCCGATGCCCCCGTAATATCTCAGAAGTTTTTCAGACGCTTTATCAATACAACAGCTTTCCTAAGGTTGATCGCTCGGCTAATCAAACGTAATGTATAGCCATAATACATTATCTACGTAGTTGTCAACTAGGCCCTCCGCCTCACTGCACAGCTGTTTGCAGGAGTCGCCAAGTCTGTCTGCTCCAACGCGATATGTTGAAGGCTTTATGGTAACCTGTTCGATCGTTCCAAATGCTAGAAAGGCGGTGTTCAACCGTTGGTTCTCTCGAGTGATTCGCATTGCTTTTCGACCAAGTTGTTTTGAAGTACTTCGGTTACGCCGCAGTCGCCTCGTTTTCTGCATGCCATCGAGAACCGTCTGCTGCGAAATTCAAAGACATTAGTTTTAATTTACGTCTCGCGTCGCAATAGTTTAAGACGTCAGGCAGTAATGACGACTAGCGATTCTAAGCTGGTATATCAAGCAGTTGAACTGTTAATTCTACCTGATTTGTTACATCAGCTGATAGGCTTCGAGGGAGACTTCGCCTATGATGTCACCAGACGTTGATAAAATATCTTCGATTCACATCTTGAATTGTCGTTCCACGTTCAAGTCCTTCAGTTCATGTAAATCGCAGCTCATTTCGAATTAACATATGACCTATGACTCGCAGTTTCATCGATATCAGATCTGTATGGCATCCTAACCTCCTCCTGGAACCATTATGGTAATGTTCGGGACTGTATAAGTCAAAAGCCAGTTGAGAACTGGTATAAAATCGACCTGACTGCTCTTTTCGCTCAGCACAGCGGTTAGTCTATTTCGAGTTCATGTGCGGACCAACGGTATTGGCAACACAACCCTGTGCAAAGCGGCAACTTCGAAGAACCTGTCATTTTTCACTCGTCACTTTTCAGGCACTCCTTTAGACTTCAAATGCGCGTAGCCTGTTTGGCGGATATCCTTCAACTTCATCTCATACTGATCATAGAAGTTCAGTCGTCGAACAGCTTCCAAGAATAGAGCTTCATTTCGCGCGACGTCTGTTTAAATTTAATGACCGCACAGTGTGACAACATATCGAGAGCAGTAAACATCGATGTTAGCAGTCTCACCTCAACGTTAACTTTCACTTTTACTTTTAAGACTACTTCATTATCGCTCACGTATGCAGTGACGAAAACACCAACGCTGGCGATCCGGGCTCGCTACATCCACCAGTACTTAGTTTACTGTAACTTTTACCTTTTACTCAGTGGTGGCGGGTGAAAAATCGACTTGTCACAGGTGTCTGCGCCTGAAAACAACCCCGGTATAATGGTGGTAGTAATGGCTGTAGTGAGAAGTCTAGAAAATCTATTAACAGAAGCAAATTAATTTCAGAAACAATATTATTAGCTAAAATTAATTTGCTTCTGTTAATAGCTTTTTCTAGACTTCTCACTACAGCCATTACTACCACCATTATACCGGGGTTGTACAAATTAACTTCAGAAACTATATTATTAGCTAACATGCCTTCGCACATACGGGACTGATGGCAAGTTGCTAAGGGCCATCCAATCACTGTATTCTGATAGCAGGTGCTGTGTCAGAGGAAGTTGCTGAGGGCCATCCAGTCACTGTATTCTGATAGCAGGTGCTGTGTCAGAGTTAATGGCGTTAAGTCGATTACATTATTATTAGATAATGCAGTTGCAGGATTTACGAGTATGTCAGCTGCGGCATTTAACAGAAACAAGCAACAGATTGATTAGATAAGGAAGCTTCCAGTTTTATTTTGGAATAGCATAAAAAAATACAGCTATGGCGAAACATGTTTCAAACCAAAGCAGATATAGTCGTTAAGGTTAAGGCAGTATAAGTAGAATGCGCAGCAAAAACCAGAATAGAAACCTGTATAACATTTAAAACAAACAGTGATTAATTCACGGTGCTACCAGACGATAAAATCAAATGCAAATTCCCCTTCATGCACACCAAATATTCACAACACAGAACACAATGAACGACTAAAGGTACCGAAGCACATACCAGACCAGCTAAGCGCAGACTGAGAACGTCTCGTCAGATCAGATCTCTTTCATCATTGCTTAGCCTAAATGATAGATTCGCATTGGCGTTCTGCCTTTCACTCTAGTAATAGGCTGATGTTCAGAGCAAGCTGCACCCATCCGCATCGTAACGGTGCCTGAATACGACAGGTGCTAATAACTTTGTGAATGCGCAAACCAAGCGCAAATGTCTAAACTCTGGTCGCCAGAATTAAATCAGTTGTCTCGACAAAAATTTCTACAAAACCACCTCATTTTCAGACGTCACAAATCGTAAGCAACTCTTTTGACGGCCCAAACCCTAAATGTTAACGCTGGTTTTTGTTTTCCATCAATCATAACCATCCGTTATCCATGTGAGTCGGTGTATTAAGCAAAATTTAAGCGCATCACAGCCGCGATTTCTCGTTCAAGCTCAAATAACAACCTTCTTACGGGCACCTAATCCACAGGTAAATACAGCATTGCATTTTTTCCCGAGGCTTTTTATGAATGAATATCGCTGAGAACATGTGAAGTTTTGCCTCGAATGCCAATATACATTTAAGTAGCATGAGACACGGCAACACCTCTACGACAAAAATCATTAATCAGTTTATGCAACGTCAGTCGCTTATGCTGCAGCGAAACTATCAACAGGTGGAAACGTCTGCATCAGATATACTGTAGAATCATGCCATGGTTGCATGACCAAACTTGATCCCCATGTAACCCTGAATAAATCAATGTCTGAACATAGTCCAGAGATGGTCGTGTTTGATACAGGGATACAGTTCAGTACTGTACATACTCCTTACAAAGGCTCATATATTCGTTGCAGCGAATCGTCTAGATATTGAGCGTGCGCTTCGGCCTGTAGTTAGTTTCAGTTACAGAAAACGCTTACAAATAAGATCGACGAATCTGCAGGAAAACACATTACGCCGACCAAAAATCTTTCATTTAGCTGGTAGACCGCGTTTGGTTTCGTTGCTTAAAACAAACCAGCAAGGTTTATAAACACTGAAAAGGGACGTGTCAAGAACTATGCTGAGATACTCATTCTATGATGTCGCTGAACAGCAACATTTAAACAAACAAAGATAGTTAAAGTGCAGCACTGAAACTCCACAATATTTCTTCTGCTCTATTACTGTGGTTAAAAACGTTTGCTTCTGCAATATCCTCATTTCATTGTATCCATACATCTAGAAGTAAAGAGATGCAATAGAATGCCTTCACTGACAACTCACAAGGGCACTAGCATGAAAAGCAATTATGTTACATTTTGTGACTAAACGAATAACATCTTTTACGCAAGCACACCAACCTCTTACTGTTACGTAACTTTTGACCCTGTTTTTATATTCTTCTTGAAGCAGCACGGCCGCAACAAGATCTAAATTTCTTCCCAGAAGCTAATTATGGCCCGATATATAACTGTAGCTAATCTATTTTGGTTATGCAGTATTTCTATCGCATAACTTATATCCACTTTTGCTTGTTAATTTGTACTTTACCCAAAGTCCTATAATGTTTCTTACAAATTTACGCCAGAACTGAAACCACCATCTACTGGTTTGTAAAGAAAGGTCGTGTTAAAGATATAATTTGCGAGTCCGCATCTCTTAGCAGATAGACCACTCGATGCTACGTTCGCTAAAATGCGTTAATTAGTTCTATATATCTTCGACGAGATTCCTGAAACAAGTTCCTCCTTGAAATTTTCACGTTTTACGTTATTTAGATATAGAAAATCTTTTTTACTCGACGGCTAACTGGATCTCAAAAGTTCGTGCTAATTACGTCAGCAGAGATTTCGGCTGTTTCGCATGAGAGAAATTTAGAATACAAAAACTGCGATATTCAGCATAAGGCAGATAATGTTTTAGCTCAAAACAGCTAATGGAGGAAAGTGGGAGCTATCCGTACGAAACTTGAAACAGCAAATTTTCATAAGCAACATCTGTGGTCACACTAACTTTGAAAGGCTCATTCTGAGGAATGGAAGCCCCACAGCGCTGCAGTGCGTCAAATTAATACCACACACCAGTAAATAGATTTTACTTACTATCACCAACTATTCACTGAAATGTTTCATCCAACGCCCGACTTCTCTTCGCCATCATCACTGAGGGCCTTCTCGTCGTTTGCCAGAGAATTCCTCTTCTCGTCCAAAGTCACATCACGTTCGTTCTCGTCGACATCAGCTAAAAGGTTGTCAGTGCAAGAAGGCAAGTAAAAAAGTTTCAAGGAATAACAAGAAGAAATATGGAATGTTTCAGAACAAACTCTCCGATGTTGTCATTAATTTAAATATCACGACGAGCGAAAACGAGAGTGAATTAAAGACGCAGCACTCACCGTTTTGCACGCTTAACAACGCTCACAAAACTCGCAAATCTGCATAAATTGAAGACGAATAAAACTGAACTATTGCTCATCCCTGGCAGGCTTATTACCATAGAAATAACTCGGACAGAGTTCAATGGCAAATAATACACAAGGAATTCCCATATCTTCCAGTTTATCGGTATCTAGAGATAGTGCTGGCAAAAATGCGATTAATCTGTAGCATTAGGCATTATTAACCACGTATCTTTCAAGGAGGGTCGATGCGAAAAAAATCTATAGTCAGTGCGCAACTTCGAAGTGAAAGTTCGAAAATTTTTTTGGTAATAAATTTATGCAGATTTGCATTCATGACTTTCTCGCTATAAAGAGAAGATGAAATTAACTGATGTTCCCATGTAAAAAAATAAACTAAACCACATTCGGCAAGACATTCAGTACCTAACATGCGAAAATTCGTTAACAGC